CCTTCCTCCCCCCTTCCCTTCCTTCTTTCCTCCTCCCTCTATCCTCCTTCTTTCTCTTTTCCCTTCCTCCATTTCCTCCCTCCCTTCCTCCCTCTCATCTTCCTCCCTCCCTCCCACCTCCCTCACTTCCTGCTTTCCCTTTCTACATTCCTCTCTGTCTTTCCCCTCATCCCTTCCTCCTTCCTCCCTCCCTTTGTCCCTCCCTCCCTCCCTTCCTTCTTCTTTTCCTTCCCTCCCTCCCTTCCTTCTCCCCCTCTATTCCTCCTTCAAGCCTTCTTGCCTACTCCCTCCCTCCCATCTTCCATCCCTTCCTCCATTACCTCCTTCCTCCCTCCCTCCCTCTATCCTCCCTTGCTTTCTTTTTTCCCTCCCTTCTTCCTTTCTTCCTCCTCCCTCTTTTCTCCCTCCCTCTCCCTCCCACCTCCCTCACTTCCTGCTTTCCCTTTCTACATTCCTCTCTCAGTCCTCCTTCCCCCCCTTCCTCCCTTCCTCCTACCTTCCTTCCTCCCTCCCTCCCTCTTCCTCCTTTCTTTCTTTTCCCTCCCTTCCTCCTTTCTTCCTCCTCCCTCTTTTCTCCCTCCCTCCCTCCCTCCCTCCCTCTCATCTTCCTCCCTCCCTCCCACCTCCTTCACTTCCTGTTTTCCCTTTCTACATTCCTCTCTGTCCTTCCCCCTTCCTCCTTCCCTCCCTCCCTTTCCTCCCTCGCTTCTTCATTTCCCTTCCTCCCTTCCTCTCTCAGTTCTCCCTTCCTTCCCATCTTCCATCCCTTCTTCCTTTCCCTCCTTCCTCCTTCGTCCCTCCCTCGCTCTCTCTTCACTTCCTTTCTCTTTTCCTTCCCTCTTCCCTTTCCTCCTCCCTCCCTCCATTTCTTCCTCCTTACTTTCCTCCCTCTATCCTTTCTTTCCTCCTCCTTTTTCCTCCCTCTTTTCTCCCTCCCTCCCATCTTCTTCCCTCCCCCTCCCTCACTTCCTCCTTTCCCTTTCTCCCTTCCTTTCTCAGTCCTCCTTCCCCCCTCCCATCTTCCTCTCAGTTCTCCCTTCCCTCCCATCTTCCATCCCTTCCTCCTTTCCCTCCTTCGTCCCTCCTTCGCTCTCTCTTCACTTCCTTTCTCTTTTCCCTCCCTCTATCCGTTCTTCCTCCTCCCTCTTTTTCTCTTTCCCTCCCCCCCTCCCTCCCTATTTCTTTCCTCCTCCCTCCCTTCTTCGCTCCCTTCCTTACCGGTCCATCAGGTGGGTGGGTCCTTGGCATACTCTGGGGGGTACCTCTGTCGCCTGCTGGCCGCCACCAAGCGCCGAAGAGCAGCTTGCAGTCCGTGCCGGGAGTGGAGGGCGGAGGTCCTGGCGAGGATGGCCTTGGTCTCCCAGCCAACTCGCCTGACTTCAGGGTCATGGTCGGCAAGGAGGAAGATCAGCCCTGGAAGGGAGAGAGGGAGGGAGGAGAAAAGGTGAGGGAGGGCACACGGACTCCCCAGGGAGCCTCTCCCCCCAGGCCCAGGCCCTCTCAGGCCCCACTTACAGGCCTCGAAGGTGCAGACGTTACTCTGGGTCGCGATGCTGCCGATCTTGTGAAGCAGGTGACCTGGAGGGAAGGCAGGCAGCAAAGAAGAGAGGGATGACCTCCATGAGCAAAGAGTGCCCTAGAGTTCCCCAGGAGGGGCTCCAAGGACTGTTCTGCAATGGGGGGGTCCCTCTGGGGAACGGGGCCAAGACCGTCTCGGTCCCTTACCGAGCAACATGGCTGCCGCCTTCTTTGCTGATGGATGTTGGCTCTTAAAGAAAGGCAGGAAGCCATACACCTTCTCCTCCAACTCCCACCTGGAACTGCAGTGCTGGATCTGGAGGAGAGAGCGGGGTCAAAAGAGGCCAGGCAGAAGGGCCCTTGACTGCCAGGCCTTAGGGCGACCACTGACCAGGCGCTTGCAGATCTTGTGCAGCAGCTCCTGCAGGCTGAAGGTGTCCCGCGCCAGAACGCTCTCCTCCAGGTGCCATCCGAGGACCTGCGCCGCCTCCCGGAGGGTCTCCCTCGCAGTCTTCCAAGAGAAGAAGGAAGAGGGAAGCTGAGCCAGACTCCCTTGGAGGGCAAGGGCCCCCTCCCTCCTCCCTGAGCCCCAAGGCCTTGTGGGGCCAGAGCTGGGCTTCCCTCCTACCTTGGCAACCTCCTCATCCTCATCTTCCACGTGCACCAGCACCGCCAGGAGGCCATGGATGGTCTGGCGCTCCTGATTGGATCTTCTGGGCGCCAGAGAAGATGCTTGAAGCATTGCAGGGCTGCCTTCCGGATCTTGGCCGCCTCCTAAAAGGGGGAGTGAAAAGAAAGCCATCTTTCCCCCGTTTCCTTGCCTGAAGGCCCTTCTCAGGGCATGGGGAGAGGGAAAAGCCAGCTCCCTCCCTCCCTCCCCAAGGAGGAGGCCCAGGGGCCAAGACTCACGTGGTGGAAGAGAAGGCGGTAGACGGCAGCCAGGTGAACCTTCGCGGGGCCCCGGTCTTCTTCCTGAAGCAAGGGCTCCAGCCAGCCAGCCAGGTCCAGGAACTCCAAGGTGATGTTGTTGTGGGGGGATTGCAGCCCCGCAGTGACCCCGACCAGGAGCTCCTTAAGGCCCATGGTCTGCAAAGAGAGAGGAAGGAGGGCCAAGTCAAAGCGCAGCCCTGCGTAAGATGTACCCTGCAGAGGATGCCGGACCACAGGTCTCCCCACTTCTTTGAGGAAGGAACCGTCCAGGATCTTCTTGCTACGACCTCAAGAGCAACGCCTGCTGCGTGGAGCCTGGGCTGCGCTTGACTTACCTCCCTGTAGGTCTTGCAGAGGAGGAGGAGACCCTGCCTGCTCTGATGTTGGACGGCCAGGCTGCGATGTTGGAGCCAGGCCGTGAGCAGCGTCCAGGTCTTCTCCGGGGAGTGAGGGCGCTGGCCGATGTGCAGTAGCTGAAAGAGAAGAGGAGAAGCGTGAGGGGCTAGAGCCAGGAAGGGAAGCACTGTCTCTTCTCACCTCACCAGCCCTGCCCTAAGGCCCTTTCCAACCCCAAAACCCAGGCCGACCAACCCTCCTCACCTGAATATAGAAGACCACCATGCCGGCTGAATGCTCCAGCGGCACTTCTGCCTCCCAGGTGGAACTCAGGTGCCGGAGAAGGGAAGAAGAGGACTTGAGGAGGCTCCTGCAAGACAAAAGAGACCCCCTGAGGGAACCCAGCCAGAGAGAACAAGCCGGGCCTCCTCCCTGAACCTCCTCCGGCCCTTGCTCCTTACTGTAACTGGAGGGCCATCCCCTCGGGGCAGATGCTGGGATCTTGAAGCATCTTTTCGGAGGTCTCGTTGAGGGACACCCAGGCCACCCTCTTCACTAGCACTGAGATGATCTTTGCCAATTCTCTGCAGAAGAAAAAGGAAAGAAAAAGGCTTACTTCCCAGTGGAGGGTCTGAGTTCCCCATCAGCCTCCCCAAAAGGGCTGGGAGTCCTGCTGACCCTTCCTCCCCACCCACTCCTTTTTTTTTAGATATTTTTATTAGCTTTTCTTAAGTACAAAAATATAAAAGTATGGGGGGTGCATATTGGGGGTAGGGAAACAGTGAAGGTAAAAGGGGAATGGGGAGGGAGGGGGGGAAACCCACCCACTCCTTACACTGGAGGAACGTAGCTGCTGCTCCGGTTCCTGCTGGGCACCTCCAACCCAGGCCTTGTGACCTCGATGAAGTTGGTCACCAAGGCGAGCAGAAGCTCCACGAACCACTCCTCCAGGCGAGTGCTGTCCCTGATGTGCTTTATGATCCCGCCGATGGCCCGTGTCGCTCTTGCCTGCGGAGAGAAAGGAGGAGGTTTGGACCTCAACAGAAGGAGGGCTCCTTGTCAAGGCTGGGAAAGAGGGGGTCTCATTCTCCTTCCCCTTACCGTGGCCGCATCCCAAGTAGGGCCGCCCTGTTCCTCGCCCTCCTGGGCTAGCCAAGGGCCCTCCTTCACCTTGGCCAGGAACAGGTCCAGCGCCGCCTCCAGGCAACAATACTGAGAATTTAGTACGGCGCATACTAATTCACCACAAGGCCTGTGAATGAAGAGAGGGAAGGGGGAGCCATGGTCAGGGCCAGCCTTGTCTCCGATCCCATGGGGAGACCGCTAGGGCCCCATGGGACAGGGGAGGGGCACCCCCAGGCCCAGCTGTCCTACCTCCCATTGGACTCCAGAAAGTGGTCCGTGGCCATCTTGAGTTGTTTGCGGGCCACGTAGTCCACTGCCTGCATGGCCTCTGCAGAGGAGGGACTGCAGACCAGCTGGCAAAGACGATGCAGGTGTTCTTTCGCCTGAAAGCAAAGAAAGGAGGGAAGAAACAATGGCACCCGGCAGCCATGGAAAGGCTCTTGGGGCCAAAAGTGGAGGGAGAGAGTTGACAGGTGAAGTGTGTTGAATGCCTGCTGAGGGTAACTGGGCATTGGGCTCCCAACATACCTTTCCAGTGGCCAGAGATATCACCTGGTGATGAATGGGAGCCAAGAAGAGCAGCCTACCTGAAGGCTGGACTTCTCTGGGACAAATCTGTCACCTGGAAGGTCTCTGCACGAGGCCCCTCTACATGTCCTGAGAAAGGCATTGGGTGAAACCTGGGTGGTCATTGCAGGCCTTGCCAAGGGGAACTCTGGGCCTTACCTGTTCTGGGTCCAGAGAGGACCACCTCCGAGGATGCAGGACCAGATCTGCCTCTTCCTCTTCGCGCTTCCTCGTGTCATTCAGCGACGCAATCATGAGAAGGCCATTGAAGCAGAAGAGCCGCCCCCAAGGAGGTGAGGCCTGGCCAGGGAGGGACTGAGAGGACAAGGAGCGAGTGCAGCCAGAGACTGTGGCTCATCACCTACCTAGCAAATAGCAACGCCTACCTAGCCCCCCAGAAATAAACGGGGCAGGCGTCCCCACACCATGAAATGACCATGTGACGCATGATCTGCAGATTGCATCGATCCGTGCGTTCCCCCCTCCCCCCCCCTCCCCCCCCCCCCCCCTCCACCCCCCCCCCCTGCTGGCGATGTCTGCCAGCGTTGCCTCGTCGGAGTCCTGCAAAAGACAATTGGGCAGAGGAGTGAAAAAGGGGCCAAAAGAGAAGGAATGGGAAGGCAGCCCAGGGGAGGAGGACTAGAGTGGGAGGAAGGAGGTGAAAGGAGGGGCGGGGAGAGGAAAAGAGGTGGGGGGTAGAGAGGAAGGCGCCCACCCCTCTTTTACCGTCCCCTTCCCTTCCTTACCATCTTCTGAGTGAGCTCGTTGACACTGCAAGGAGAGAGAGACAAGAAGGCAAGGTCAGAAGAAGTCCTCCCCTCTCTTCTCTCTGGTGGAGCCCCCCAAGCCCCCATGGAATAAGAGTGCAGGCTGAGGCCCCCTTGGCCTCAATTGGGAGAGGGAGGGAGGAGACCTCTGCCTGCCATGTTCCCCTGAAACTGGGAAGGAGGTACCTCTCTGTATTGAGGTCCAGGGCCACCCACTCCGGCAGGAACAACTCAGAAGGGATCCCAACTTCCTTTGAGCCCTGTTGAGGGAGAAGAAAGGGGAAGAAGAGGGAAGTTCACGCTGTGCCTTTTGCCACACCTTCCCTCACTCTTTCCCAGGTGAATGCGTACTGCCAATCCTGGAGAGGGTTGAACTGCAACCCCCAGACCTCCTCCCCAATGACTACGCTGCCTGGGGCTGATGGGACTTTAGAGTTGCTGGATTCCCACCGCAAGGGAGGCCTCTTCAGCCAAGGGCCACCTTGAACTCAAGGGGTCTTGGGTGGCCCTGAGCCAGCTCCCCCTTTCCAGCCCCCCTCTTTCACTCACCAACTCTTTGGGCAATTTTTTCTGCGGCGGAGTTAGGCTCTTCTCCGAGAGGAAGCTGCTAGAAGGGCAAGGGACAGAAGAAGAGCTCAGCTTGGGATCCCCTCCATTCTCCCAAGGTCCCCAAGGCCAGCCCCACCCCAAGGACCTTCCAGCCCCTGGGAGG